CATTTGTTATCAGGAAATATAATATTAAACATTGGCTTTTTGCAGGGAAGATTATAATGTTAACGTTTTTGTTCTTAAAGAGAATTTATTCCCACAGTTTCAGAGGGAATCCCAATTGACAATAAATATAGAGCTGTGCAGAATGAGGAATTATCTGTTAATGAAAATATCCTGAGAGGAATATGTTTTTCAGTTGCTTTGAGCTCTGTTAATAGAAGGACCTCTCTCTCTCTCTCTCTCCTCTCTCTCCTCTCTCTCCTCTCTCTCTATCCGTGACTGTCCTGCCTAGACTGCATGGAGAGATGGCTCCGGCAACTGCTTATTTCCCACATTCTTCCTAGCTATGTGATTCTTCTCCCCAGTTTCGTTTTTGCACTTACAACCCATCTTCTAGCTCCTAATAACAGTCCTGGCATTCATTGCACGCAGTTACAAACCCGGCTCTGCTTATCAGACCGAGTGTGCTTGGGCTGAGTCCTCCTCGCCTCCTCCCTGGGGAGCTCTGGGCTCCACTTGCCTGAGCAGCAGGAGTGACAGCGCGGGTCGCAGTCTGCCGCCCCCACAGGACTGCAGCCCCGGCTCCTTTCCTGATAGGCATCTGCAAGTGTTCGCTTTCCCAGACCCTGGCAGTGACTTGAATGTTTACATTGTTGATGCTCTGCGCACAGGTAATGGCAGATAAAACATGACCAGTGTGACCAGCAGAGACAAAAAGCTGATTGATAAGGATCGCCTATTCATGAGGGAAAACAAGGAGGCAGGAGATGAGGCTGCAGGGGACAGGGTTCTTGGGGCCAGAGAAGGGAAATAGGAAGTTGAGGGGAGCCATTGTAAGTGTGGGGCCATAAGGAAAGAATCCTTGACCTCCTGTGGTCTCACTGCTCTCATAAGTCAGCAACAGAGTAAGAGGAGTGGGACAGTGTTTGCAGTTCAGGGGGGATTCTGTATTCTGCATTTACATGGACTGTAAAAAGCCATGAAGCGGAGACTTTTATTTAAGTTATGTCACTGGAGTGAGAAAGTATTCTGTTGTTCATAGATTGACAATGAGCTGTGATTGTGTGGTTCATTCTAGTTCTAATTGAGTGTCTGGCAACTTGTGTGGGTTTCTACAAAATCAGATTCTGTTATCTTTTAGAAATTGAAAATATACTTTAAACTAGGTTTCCGTTGGCAGTCTGCATGCATATGTAGGAAATGGAGGGAAAAAATTACCAGGACACTTAATTGTATAAAGCTCTAGGCTACTTTGAGAGCCTACGGATTGTCTTCAGGATTTACTAAGTAATGTGTTTCAAACAGTGCAGGCTCTGTGAACGTATGACTCATTTGCGGTAAAGCCTTAAATGGCCCTTTGGATATTCACCATAATGATTCGAGTTCCGACCTCTGTTTACCTGGATTGTTGGCAATATTTGTAAATTTATTAGCAATAAAACTACTTGTTTTAATCTTTAATTCATTCTTGTTGCATGAACACTACTTTCGTTAGTGCTTTACATGTAGTATGAGTCATAAAAAATTATTAAACATGTATTTTAGACTTTTGATGGACAATGAAATTGGACAAGAAATTAGCATCAAGATCTGTGGATGTAGTGTATAAACAATAATACAAGCTTTTTTCTGCAACATTTCAAAATATCTCTTTTCAATGTATATATTCAGATTGATTTCATGATCTATGTAATTGTATTAATATTTGTAAGACAGTGGCCGTGTTTTTAGGAAACATTTATAGATTGATAGAGGCATTATTCTATAACTTTAAATGATCCAAAAATGATACAGACATACAAATGAGTAAAAAAAATACACAAGCATGCAAATAGTTATAATACACACATTTACATGTCTATGATTTTACACAGAATAGATAGGCACTGAGAGAGCAAGAAAATTAAAAAACTAATCTGGTAAAATCTTAACAAGAACTGTTGTAAAAGATATAAATTGTTACAATCTGTTAAAAGAATATTTGACAATACATTTGAGAAGAACTTAAAATACATGCTCTTTGAGTTATTAATTCTACTTCTAGGAATCTCAGTTAAGGGATAGAATCAGTGACTTGTGCAAGGATGCATGTGTCAGAGTAGTCACTACAGAAATTCAGTGTCATAACAAAATCTTCACAATCTCCTGTCTCCATGTTAACTGAGTGCAGAGGAAGTGGCAAGTTTATTTATTTTAGTTGGTTGTTGCTTTTCAGTTTCCCTTCGTGAACGTATGGTGCTTTTGAATGTTGGTTGTGCCTTTAGCCCAGCAGTTAAGGGGCTCATGTCCAATATTAGCGTGACTCTGGATCCTGGCTGCAGATCCCTGCTGTTGGAGACCATGGGAAGCAGCAGTGATGGCTCAAGTAATTGGGCTCCTGTCGCTCATTAGGGAGACCTAGATTGACTTCCCAGAGTCTGAGTTCAAACCAGCTTGAGCTACTTTGCACATTTGGAGAGTTCTTTGCCTTTGCCTCTGCCTGTGCTCCCCCTCAAATACATACATACGTACATAAACATTTAAAAATAAACAATAATACTCTTTTGTCAAGGGCGTATGGTTGTCTTAATAAGATACTGCTAATTTGATTACCATGTAATTGTACATGTTTTTGGTTCTTTTTCTCCAGAGATCACCTGTATAAACATCAACTGAGATGATTATTAACAATGAAATCCTTTGCCTAAAAATCTCTGGGATTGAAGTCAGTAAATATGCTTTTGTGTTAAAGCTCTCTGAGTCATTCTTACTTATATAAAGTTTGAAAAGGCATGCTTGAAGTAAATCCGATTTGTCAGGAACTGGACTTCTAACAAATAATACGTCATAGTTTGGTAAAACTGTCATATCTTTGGCTAGAAAATAGTCATTTTAAAATTAGGGTTCCATTGAAGAAGAATAAAGCTATGTATTTTTGAAGAACATTTTTGTTGAAAGTGATGCACATCCTTGTCGTCTGTGTTTGGCAACCTTTGAGGCAGCCTCTTCCTTTGTGCCCATCAGAAGTCGACTTCCTGTTTTATCTACAATGACTGTAGGTCCACTTTTATCCAACGGCCTGGTATAGTGTGTTCCAGAAACCCTATGAAAGGAGCTGTGACCTCATCAGCGGATCTTGAGTAAAGATGAGCTTCCTGCTTCTATTTGCAGTGTACTGGTGCCTTCACCTATGTTTATATTCTTTATCCCTTGTCTAGCCTGTCCCTCCAGAGTAGACATGTGTGCCTGGAGGAGTGGTCAGTCATGGTAGCCAGACATTTCACTGGGGATATGTGCGTATTTTTGCTTCCAGTTAGCATGTTAGAAACCAGTGTTTTGGGACAGTGTTTTGGGACTGCTGTTTGTGACACTGGCATCCCACCTGAGCACCAGTTGCTGCTCTGCTTTCTGGTCCAGCTCCCTGCTAAGACACCTCGGGCCCCTGTACCCATGTTGGAGGCCCTGCTGGGGCTCTCTGCTCCTGACTTTGTTGTGGCCCATCCCCAGCCTTTGTGGCCACCTGGGGAGTGAACCAGTAGATGAAAAAAACTCTTTGTCTTGCCCTCTCCACTGGCCCTCCCCCACCCGCTGCACACTCATCCTTCTTTAAAAAAAATTAGTGCATAGAAATGCCATTTCATTTTCGCCTGTGATACTTAGCAAGTACTTCTAGGCAAAGAGCTGCTTCCTGAGTTTGTACGTGGGACTGTTCTGTGCATGATGGCTGTCTGTCTTTAATTTCAGATTTTGTTGATGGACCCATCCACCACAAGGCCCTACTCATATCGGTGACGGTCTGTAGTTTGCTCTTGGTCCTTATCATTCTCTTCTGTTACTTCAGGTAAGTTTCCAGCTTGGAGGTGGAGTGCCCAGAGTACACAGTGTCTTCCTTACACTAATATTCTACTACTTTTGCCTGTCAGTGTTTTCCACCATGGCTTACTTGGACCTGATTAGATATTGCGTTCAACTGAAAATATCAGTTACCATTAATGGATACGTGTCCTAATGAAGCTGTAAATAGATGTCCATCTCTTTTCTGCTTCAGACATCAGAAGTGTCCACATATATATTTCATCCCTAGGGAATCTAGTTTTGTTAAGAAATTTGGGGGCTGGTTGCTACTTAGTTTCCACTCTAAGCAGAAAAATGACACGTATTTAACTAGGATGGTACAAGGAATTTGCTATTGAGCCAAACTTTCCTTCTAATATTAAAAAAGTTTAGCTATAATTTATAGATTAATTACTAAAATAAAATGTCATAATATTGAAGTGAAGTGTGCTCATTATAAATCATTTTGTTACCTCAGAACTGATTCTCTAGGTTGTGAAATATGAACAATTTTTATATTCATATAATTTGCCTTTTGAGCAGTTTAATATGAATTTGTGATATTCTGTAAATGAGTGAATGAGTTGATTAAAATAAATTATTTTGAAGTGAAAACATTAAAATTACTAACAAAATGTTTTTGAAATTTAATTTTACTGCGTTTGATATTGCATTTTATATTACCTTACATAAGAGTTAGTTGTAATGTATGTTATGACCCAAAAATTTATCTTAAATTAAGGATCCTAAAAGATTTTAGGAAATTCATATAGGAGCTGTTTAGAAATACTAGCAGAATGTAGTGTGCTTAAATATATTGTAAGAAAAAGAATAGATATAGATGGTTGAGACCAAGTAAAATCATATAGTTTATTTTTAAAAATACACTGGCAAAATAATTATCATTTGGATATCAGAAACATAAGACATACTTAGCACTTAATTTTATATTTATCGGCTAAGATGAATTCTGTGATTACTGGAAGGCTTCACCCCTTTCATTGCATCCTATTCTCTCAAATTATCTGCATTTTTCCCTCTTCAGGTATAAGAGGCAAGAAACCAGACCTCGGTACAGCATCGGGTTGGAACAGGATGAAACTTACATTCCTCCAGGAGAGTCCCTGAGAGACCTAATCGAGCAGTCTCAAAGCTCGGGAAGTGGATCAGGCCTCCCTCTGCTGGTATGAGAAGAGCATATCTTGAATTTAAAGGAAATGTCGTCTGAAAGGAGAAGTCAGTAAACACTGGGTTTCATTTTACTGAAACAGATAGGGCCCCGGACAAGGAGAAGGCTCTCTGTAGTCAGCTGGCCGTCAGATCTCAGGTGCAGGGCTTCCTGATAACATTTTGACATATTGAGGGTAGGTGATTGTTTTTTAATGCACAGGTAGGGTTACAGTCCAGACCCTCAGACATTCTGATAAAGAGCTGATTAGAAAACACGAAACATCGGACCATCTTGCCTCTGTTTTTGGTGAGGATAGCATTACTGCACTTTGGCCTGGCTTTTGAAGGCTAAGGTATGACTGCCATCTGGGAGCTGAGCACTTTGACAAAGGAAAAAAGGCCGTGTCCGCTACAGGGCTTACGTTTCAGGGCGAGGTCCTGGCTTTCCATTCAGGAGGGCTTTAGTTTTCTGATGTCAGTGCTGTCCACACTGTGAGCCTTGAAGAGACAGTCTGCCCGGTCCAAGGCGCTTGCTTCCACGACACAGGTGTGTGTCACTTTTATGCGCCGTGTGGAAAGATGGTCGGGATTTGGGATGGAAAGAGCAATTTTCATTAGAAATCGTTTCCTTAGTAAACTTTGAAGATCCTTTTGGCCTGATGCTGGCTTTTGACTGTTGCTTCCTTGGTTCATTGTGACCTTTTAGTTACTACAACAAGATATGTATTTTAAGGCCTGGCACAAAATGACCTGTGTGGTTATTTTTAGCAGTATGGTCCAAATGATCCAAATTGTTGTAGAAGTTTTGGAATCAAGTTGCTTGACTTATTTATTCCCAGATTTAATTAATACGTAGCAAATACAAATCTTATATTTGAACATCTGTTGTACTTTTTTTTAAAGTACAAGTGGTAAAACTCCCTTTCAGTATTCATGAATTAAGTGTTCCTGCTTTTCAAATTCAAACTGATTGTTCTTCTAGAACTTTTCTTCTTTCTAACCCATTACTATGCAGTTAGTGCTCTAAAATCTTTGATCTTATTATGTCATTTCCATGGATATAGCATTCTAATACCCAGTGCTGTTGCTGGGTCATCTTAGCCTGATCCTATGGTGTATACACTCAGCCTGCCTACCCATGCCCTGCTCCCACCTCCCTGCCACCTGCGTTCCAAACTCTACACCACTGTTGAGTGACTGTTCATTAAATTCTTAAATACAACCCCATCCATGTCTTTGCAGATGTCATTTCTTTAGGAGCATTCTCCCCAGTTAGGGCTCGAGGCCTACCTCATGTTCTGCCTCTGTGACAACTTCTTCTAAGCTGGCGTATTTATTTAGCTTCTGTTGTAATGTTTTTCATTTTAGTACCAATACCACAGCTTAAAATAATGTTATTGATGTTAATGTGTCGTGTCTTTTGATGGAGTTTGTCCTCCTTTGTTGCTGTGGATTCGTTCTGAGAGGAGCAGCGTGGTGGAGGCAAGAGGCCCGGAGTCACCACCACACAGACCCCGGGAGTCTGGTGAAAGCAGGCCAGAGGCAAGCAATCCGCAGACTCGTTTATTTCAGTAGGTACAGCCGCTTAAATAGCCAAGGCAGCCAATCCGGTGAAGGGGCTGTTTATGCTCTAACCAATCACAGCCTGTAGCCAGGCAGTATCCGAAGCCATCCAGTCACAGCTTGTTGCCAGGCAGGCTCCATTGCCAGGTGGTTTCCCAGGGGGTTTTGAAGCCACTCCTGAGTAACTGACGCTTGCTTGCCAGTGGCCATCTTGGCATGGCTTTCTCATTCCAACACACTCCTTGAGTGTGGAAATTCCATTTTGTTCACTTCCTATCAGTTAGAGTGCTTGACTTATGAAAGGGCCTGCAGAGTCATTTTTTCTGAAGGTTGCAAGGAGTAGGCATTTAGCCTAGAGGTTAAGATGACTGAGTCCCTCATCAAGTCCTGACTCCAGCTTCCTGCTAATGCAGACCTGGCAGGTAACAGTGATGGCTTGGGTAACTGAGTTCCTGCTACTCAGGAGGGAGATACAGATTGCAATCCCTGATCCTGTCTCTGGCCCCAGATCAGCCCAGGCTGTTGTGGGTAGTTGAAGTGCAAAATTGTGGATGGGAGTTCTTTTTTTCTGTTTTTTCTCTGTCTCTTTACTTCTCAAATAAGTTAAAGCAAATGCTGCCAGCTCTTACTTTTTTTTCTTTTTAAATATTTATTTTATTTATTTGAAAGACAGAGTTAACAAAAAGAGGTAGAGACATAGAGAAAGAGGTCTTCCATCCGCTGGTTCACTCCCCAGATGGCTACAGTGGCTGGAGCTGTGCCGATCCGAAGCCAGGAGCCAGGAGCTTCTTCCAGGTCTCCCACGTGGGTGGAACGGCCCAAGGACTTAAGAGCATATATTCTCAAACCAGATTGCCCAGGTTCCAACCCTGGCCAGGTAGTAGCTTTTACAAATATATTCTCATTTAATCCTCATTGCAACCCTGTGAGATAGTGTAGCTAATGAAATAATATATACCCCGCCCCTCCAAGAACTGTCACAGGCAACACTCCGTGTACACACAAACTGAGATGGCTATGACATCACTAGGTGATATACTCTTAGGGAACTGAAACCATCATTATATATTTGACCTGAAATTGACTGAAATGTCATTCTGTGACCCGTGAATGCACTAGAAATACCTCCCTGTGTTACACTTCAGGTGATGTAGGCCCAGATAGTCCAACTGGCTTGCGTGTGGAAGAGCTGGGATTCGAACCCAGGAGATTTGCCTGCAGAAACTGTGCTTTTAGTGTTTGTGAGCAAAGACTCACACGTTAGTTCAGTGCAATAAATATATTCGATGGGGTCAGATGGGAAGGAGCAATTTAGAGACCCTTGTTCAATAAAAAAGTCTCAGTATTACAGATTTAATATCTGGTTTTAAGACAGTAAGTGTATAGTAGTCCCTCCATGAATTATGTGAATGAATACCTCACCTTCATACTTATTTGTTATTTAGTTCATTAACATCATGGAAAAATTCCTGCCTTACATAAAAACACAACTTGGACTTGGTGTTCTCCACAAGGCTTTACATGTGCCCTTTCATTTTGAGTCTTCTCTTATTTCGTAAAATATCCATTTATTTTTTTTTCTTCCTCAAAAGGAAGGCAGAAGATAGGGTGGTAAGACGTAAGGTAGTGTTTGTTTTTATTTTCTCTCTGTTTTTTTTTTAGCTACTATATATGCAAATGCCCAGCATAATATGTAATACATACATAGTGGATAATAAATAGTAAAGTTCTATTGCTTTTTTTATATTCAATTTATCTGAACTTTTAAAGGAATTAAAAATGAGATTGTTAGAGTCTGAAAAAGCCCACCGCCCGAGGAACGACTCCAAGAGACTTTTCTCTCATGCAACCAGCAAAGGGTTAAAGATTTATTGATTATCCAGCATGCTGGGGCTGTCTGATCATACATGAGCAGAGCAGCCCGAATAACCAAAGGTTAGGGTTTATAAAGGCAAAAACCACAAAACCGGGAAGGGGGGAATACATGGTGCTATGCACGGTTGTTATACACAGTTGCTAAAATCAAAAGAGAGTACATAAAATCAAAAGAGAGTATATGGTTACTGGGGTCAACATAACCTAAAACCTAAGTGAAATTAATATTTATCATAATCTTGACAATACTAGTTACAATATTACAATTAGCAATTAGGACTTGACATTAATGTAAGACACAGACAAATGACATCTTTTTTTTAACTTATATTTAATGAATATAAATTTCCAAAGTACAGAATATTGATTACAATGGCTTCCCCCCATAACGTCCCTCCAACCCGCAACCCTCCCCTTATCCACTCCCTCTCCCCTTCCATTCACATCAAGATTCATTTTCGATTCTCTTTATATACAGAAGATCAGTTTAGCATACATTAAGTAAAGATTTCAACAGTTTGCTCCCACACAGAAACATAAAGTGAAAAATACTGTTTGAGTACTAGTTATAGCATTAAATCTCAATGTACAGCACATTAAGGACAGAGATCCTACATGAGGAGTAAGTGCACAGTGACTCCTGTTGTTGACTTAACAAATTGACACTCTTGTTTATGGCATCAGTAATCACCCTAGGCTCTTGTCATGAGCTGCCAAGGCTATGGAAGCCCCCTGAGTTCACTGACTCTGATCGTATTTAGACAAGGCCCATGTCAAAGTGGAAGTCTCTCCTCCTTCAGAGAAAGGTACCCCTCTTCTTTGATGACCCGTTCTTTCCACTGGGATCTCACTCGTGGAGATCTTTCATTTAGGTTTTTTTTCCCCCCAGAGTGTCTTGGCTTTCCATGCCTGAAATACTCTCATGGGCATTTCAGCCGGATCCGCTTGCCTTAAGGGCTGATTATGAGGCCAGAGTGCTGTTAGGACATTTGCCATTCTATGGGTCTGCTGTGTATCTCACTCCCCATGTTGGATCATTCTCTCCCTTTTTTATTCTATCAGCTAGTATTTGCAGACACTATTCTTGTTTATGTGATCCCTTTGGTTCTTAGTCCTATTATTACGATCAATTGTGAACAGAAATTGATCACTGGGACTAGTGAGATGGCATTAGTACATGCCACCTCGATGGGATTGAATTGGAATCCCCTGGTATGTTTCTAACTCTACTGTTTGAGGTAAGTCAGCTTGAGCATGTCCTGAATTGCACATCTCTTCCCTCTCTTATTCCCACTCTTATATTTAACAGCAATCACTTTTCAGTTAAGTTTCAGCACTTAAGAAGAATTGTGTATTGATTACAGTATTCAACCAAAAGTATTAAGTAGAACAAACAAACAAAAATACTAAGAGGGATAACATATTAAGGTGTTCATCAACAGTCAGGGTGAGGGCTGATCAAGTCACTGTTTCTCATAGTGTTCATTTCACTTTAAGGTTTCCTTTTTGGTGCTCAGTTAGTTGTCACCTATCAAGGAGAACAAGTGGTAGACAAATGACATCTTTATTATTAGCCCAGGTAACCCAGGTGCATGCTAGGGGGTTTTTGTGCTCTGCCAAGGGTGATGTAGTGCACTGCTATTGTCTGACTATTTGAGATCATAGTTTCAGACCAGAGTCTCATGGTGGGGGGGGTTCTTTCTCAGAATGGAGTCTCAAGTGCTCCAAAATGGAGTCCCTACTGTCAAGGTGCTACTTTACTCTGTCTTATTTCTACAGCTGTACCAGGAAGGTTTAAACCTGTAAGCTTAAGCTTAACTTTTTACACCCGCACATATACAATTTCAACTCTTCAAGATAAATTCTTTTCACACTGAACATTGAGCAATCTTCTGAAATATTTTCTTCACTTTTAACTCAGCCTTATTAAATAAAGACTTGTAAGCTGTGTAGAAGAGTGTGTTGGGTGGGAATAATTCAGGGTCATGGTAGAAAGTTCAGAGCATTACTTATAGAAGGTACTGCAAAAAGCTTATGGGAAACAGAATTAAAAGGTAAGTTAGGGCAGATATTCGGTGTAGCAGTTAAGATGCCAGTTAAGATACCCACTTCCCATTCTGAGTCTCTGGGTTCTATCCCAAGCTCTGGCTCTTCATTCCGGCTTCTTACCAATGCAGACCCTAGGAGGCGGCAAGTGATGGCTCAAGGAGTTGGGTTTCTGGCACCCTCCAGAGAGTTGGCTTTAGTTCCCAGCTTCTGGCTTCTAGCTTCTGGCTTCCTAGCGCCGGCCATTTTAGGCATTTGGCGAGTAAGCTAGCTCTCTTTATTATTAATTTTTAAAAAGTTTAATTTGGTGCACAAAATTTTTAAAACCCATGCATAAATTTTCATAATATATATTTTCTGAAGATCCTACATATGTTTGGTTTCAAATTTTAAAAAAATTATTTCTATAAAAGGAACAAATTTTATGTATTTTATAAATGCAGTTTTAAGAACATACTGATACTTCTCATTCTATCCTCCCTCCTTCCCTTACTCTCATCCTCCCTTCTTGTTCCTTTCTTATTTTTCTTCAAATTTTTGAAGTGACATACTTTCAATATATAATAAAAAACTTAACCCTACGCTAAATAAAGAATTTAATAAGTAGTAAGTAGAAAAACTGTAAATAATAATCATATCTCAAAATGTCAATTTCTCTCATATATGTTACTTTTTTGTACTCTATATATTACCATAAATCAGAAAATTTGTCTATTTAGGGCTGGCTTATTTCACTAAGCACAATGGTCCGTCTCCAGTTGCATCCATTTTATTGTGAAAGACAGGATTTCATTCCTTTTTATGGCTGAATAGTATTCCAGTCAACAGTTGATGGATATATGGGTTGATTCTGTATCTTGGCTATTGTGATTTGGGCTTCTATAAATCTTGGGCTGCAGGTATTTTTTTTTGTTTGTTTGTTTTTTGTTTTTGTTTTTGTTTTTTTTATCTTTTATTTAATGAATATAAATTTCCAAAGTACGACTCATGGGTTACAATGGCTTCCCCCCCCATACCGTCCCTCCCACCCACAACCCTCCCCTTTCCCACTCCCTCTCCCCTTCCATTCACATCAAGATTCATTTTCGATTATCTTAATATACAGAAGATCAGCTTAGTATACATTAAGTAAGGATTTCAGCAGTTTGCTCCCACACAGAAACATAAAGTGAAAAATAATAGATGATTTTTTTTAAATGATGATGAAATCAGATCAGACCTATTGTCATGTTTAATCCCAGTGAGAGTCAAGTTGGGAATTGATAATTTCTTTTTTTTTTTTTTTTACAGAAGATCAGTTTAGTGTACATTAAGTAAAGATTTCAATCGTTTGCACCCCCATAGAAACACAAAGTGAAATATACTGTTTGAGTACTCGTTATAGCATTAAGCCTCAGTGTACAGCACATTAAGGACAGAGATCCTACATGAGGAGTAAGTGCACAGTGACTCCCTGTTGTTGACTTTACCAATTGACACTCCCTGTTTATGGCATCAGAAA